TCCTTCCTTCCTTCCTTCCTTCCTTCCTTCCTTCCTTCCTTCCTTCCTTCCCTTCCTCCCTTCCTCCCTCCCTCCCTCCTTCCTTCCTTCTTCCCTTCCTCCCTCCCTATGGTATGAGATTGCACTATCTAAATGACATTCTGAAGATACTGTGTTCTTGTATATGTGTGAGCTCCTGCTAATAGCTCACAGCAAATAGGAACAGGTTGTCAAGAAAAACAAAGAGCACTGTGGTTACTTCCTGTTAATAGCAAACCTTAAAATCAGTCAGGCAGGTAGGTAGTCTATGATGAGCCACTGTGCTCATGACAGATTGTGTGTTATGACCATTAACACTCAGGCGGAGCTAGTTTTGTAAAAGTAACTTTTATTTGTCTGACGGAAGCTTACTGACTCTGTCTGCTAACCTCAGTCCAGTCCTGGAAGCTTCTAGCCTCCATACAATCTAATCTAGACCTAAAATGGTTTCAGCCTCTGAGACTTACTGCTGAATACGCTCACCCTTTCTAACTCTTTCTGAACTTTTGCTGGCTGCTTCAACTCAGATGTTCTTGTTCAAACTCCTCTCCAAGCTGACTGATTCAAACTGTTTTTTCTCTCAGTGTTTGACTGACTTGCTCTGATTAGCCTCATACTAACTTTATCAATCTGTTCTAATCTTCTGACTCCTTCCCTTTCTTTCTTTTCTTTCTATTTCTCTCTTTTTTTAAAACATGGTATCTCTGTGTAGCCCTGGCTATCCTATAGACCAGGCTAGCCTCGAACTCAGTGATCCACCTGCCTCTCCTTCCTGACTGCTGGGATCAAAGGCATGCACCACCACTGCCCAGCTACCCATAACCACTTCTTTGTTTGTTTGTTTTGGATTTGGCTTTTTGAAACAGAATTTCTCTGTATAGCCTTGGCTGCCCTGGAACTCACAGAGATCCATCTACCTCTGCCTCTCAAGTGCTAGCATTAAAAGCATGCACCACCACTACCTAACCACTGGATTGGACCTTGGATTTCAGTTTCCTCTGGATCACAAAAAATAGTTCTCTTAGTTTTTAAATTGCAATGAGAATTAAAGGACACTTTCCTGAAACAGTTGAAAGGAACTAACATTCTCTTCTTACAGTCTCTTCAGGTCAGGGACTCTCTACCTGATGATACTTGCAGATGATCCCTAGTACAGTAAGAGCACATAATTCCTGCCTTTCACTCCCCCATACCTTGTAATTTCACAATGAAGCCATTTTGGCAGAGCCGTTGACTGAGTTTACAAGAGCTTTTAAACTTTCTTAAGTCTGATAATATATGTACATACAGTAGATACACAAACATAAAATTTTATGTATATACTTATTTCTCTGTCTACATAAAACCATAAGGTCATGATAAATGTTCTCAATTCCGGTACTATGTATTTCCTTGCTTTGAGAAATTACCTTTTACAATTTTTTAAATTTATTTACTGATTTGATCAATGCTCCTGCTAGTAAAGTTTACCATCTCCACTGTAGTTCTATCCCCTGTGTATATGCCTTTCTCCATTGGGCCCTGACACCCTACATCTAGCCACCCTTCTGCACTGGAACCCTCTTTACCCTGCTCAGTCTTTGACTTGTTACACTGACCCTGTGCACCATTCTGTATTCAACTAGACCACCTCTCCAAGTAAATGCCAGCTTCTCTGTGCGTGGGTTCTGACTCTGTATCTCGTGAGTGCCCTCCTTACTGTACTTTCCCACTCCAGTCATTTCTCCATGAGGTTATCTTCCTCCTCTTGTCCTGACCCCTTGTCAGATGGTTTCATGCTACTATAGCATGAATGTAAAATGGCCCCCTCTCCGAGGCCTTTGAGTCCTAGCTGGTAGGTACTATTTTGAGTGACTAGAACCTGAATCCTGGTGATGGAAGTAAATCATTGGGAGTGAGTTAGAGCCTGGCCCCACTCCTCATCTGAGCTCTCAGCTGTTGGCATACTTTTTAAACATTTTTAAAATGTATTTTTAAACATATTTTAAAAACATTCTAAAAACTATTTTATTTGCATTTCTTATGCCTCTTCCTCCCTTCACCCCAATCCTTCCAACACCTGAACACCAGGTAGAAAAGAAAAAACAATAGTGGGGAGAAGGGCCATAGTTCTCTTTGGCTACTTCCTGCTGGTTAGGGTCATTGGGAGCACCTTCTTGTCAAACTGCAACACCAACCAGGACCAGCAGGGAGGAGGACCAGCAGCCTGCTTCTTTCTCAAGCCATTCTTCCCGCCTTGCTTCCCCCTTTGGGCTCTGACATTTATTCCCTCCCAGAATCCTCAGAATTAAAGTAACTGCAGCTGGCAAAGACCATGCCCCTCTCTGAGCTGCTCAAGGCAAATAGTCTGCTGCTGTGGACAATCCCGTGTCCCACACCTGGAATTAAAACAAAAACATGTTTATATAACAGTAACAGTTTTTAAAGAAACCAAAACTTCCATTACACTCAGCTTCCTGCTTTCCTGAGAAATAATAAATCAAGGTTCCAGCTCCTACCCATGGATGAACCCAGCCACCACACCTTCCCAACCATGATGGATTGTATCCCGTCTACTGTGAACCTGCTCAAATCTTAAGTTGCTTCTGTTGGTATCTGGCCATAGTCACCTAAGAGTCTGTGACTTTTACATAACACACAAACACATCAAGGCAAGCCCCCTTGGTCCACTATAGCTCTGATACCACATTAATAGGATACTCCTCTGTTTGTGAGCTCACTCATGTGTCCTAAGCTCTGTACTCCAAACCATTCCCACCCCAGGACCATATACCCATCTTCACCACTGCACCTAAGTCCCACCAGCCTCATAGACCATCACCTCTTTTCCTTATCCAGCTTCCCCTCACACCCACACCCACAATCACCAGGCTCTTCTGGCAGAGATGCCTGTGTTCTGCTTTAGGTTTGAGAACCTTAGGAAGGGAAGGGAAACAGCTCCTTTGCCCTAACCTCGAGCTTTCTTGAAGAGAGACCCTACTTTGCATTTGTTTTATTTTTTATTCTTTTGGTTTTTTCAAGGCAGGGTTTCTCTATGTGGCCTTGGCTGTCCTGGAACTCACTTTGTAGACCAGACTGGTCACAAAGTCACAGAGATCCTACCTCTGCCTTCAGAGTGCTGGGATTAAAGGCGTGTGCTGCCACCACTACCTTTTTGCTTTTTTTCTCTCTTTTTGTTTTTATTGGTTAAAAGTAACTTGTCTATTTTTAATCTCAAAATTTTGTTTCATGTTTTTGCACTTAAGTGTTTCTTTGGTTTGGGTGTAGTATTTATGTTTTTAACTAGTGAGGTGGGTTCTGATATTCAAAAATACTTTTTTCCTCTAGTCTGCTAGGAAAAATTGTTAGCAAACAAGGAAGAACACTAAGTAAAGGGTACCAAACATTGAGACTTACACACTAGTGGAATTGTATCCTCACTGCCACACTAACTCCAGGAGCTCTGTAAAAATGTGCAGCCTTTCTTTGGAAGAGAATTTGTCCAGGGATTACTTTGTTTGTTAAGCAGGGGTCTTTAGTGATTTGTTATCATTCTTTGATATCAAAGCTTCAGCTCTTTGGCTGTTACAAGGTAGTTGTTAGCTCATTTGCTCAGAGTCAGTCACAGGTGAACTCTTCTTTCCCTTTTTTTCCTACTGCACTTGACTGTTAGAAACAAAAGCATTGACTTTTCTCTTTGGGGTGTGTGTGTGTGTGTGTGTGTGTGTGTGTGTGTGTGTGTGTGTGTTCGTTCTAGAGATTGAACCCAGGGTCTTGCACTGTGCAAAGCACGTGTTCTATGCACAGCTCTCCTCGAAGCCTAGCTTTGTATTTTAAGTTGTAGACATTCAGTAAATGTCCTCTTGTAAGATTTTTTTAAGGTTTATTTATTTTTTATTATGTATACAGTGTTCTGTCTGCATGTACACCTGCAGGCCAAAAGAGGGCACTAGATCTCATTGTAGATGGTTGTGAGCCACCATGTGGTTGCTGGGAATTGAATTCAGGACCTCTGAAAGAGTAGCCAGTGCTCTTAACCTCTGAGCCACATCTCCAGCCCGTAAGATTATTTTGTTTCCCTCAAAATACTTAGAATAGAAATTCAGGTATTGTTGGGGTGACTTTCCTTCACATTGTGTGACTGTGTGTTTCTGTACTTTGAGATGTTAATTTTGTACAGCTGAGAACTAAGTGCTGGAAGAATTTAGTTGTAATTTCCGTGGCCCATCACCTGTTGTACATGTGTAACTATTTGCCCTTCCACACATGCTCAGATATTTGACGGTCAGACAGTCCTCTATGCCTAGAGGCAAACTAAATACTGTGTCAGGTGTTGTCTCAATGCTGATTTGTTGTAATAAAGAGCTGATGTCCAATATCTGGGGCACGAAGCATGAGGGTGGAACATCTAGGCAGAGAGAAGGACGAAGGGAGACTGACTGAGACTGACTCAGGAGAATTGAGGAGCATAGAGTTCCTCAGTTAGTTAGCTAGTAATTGGGTAACTGTCCCAGCAAAAGGCCTAAGCTTTAAACTATATTGGAAGTCTCCATGCCTTATTTATACCCTCGGGTGGGTTTTTGAAAGTCCTGCAGTGAAGTATAACAAGGGATTGCTAATAAAATAGATCTGTCACAATTTGATGATATGCTTTTATTGTTTGTCATCTGTTCTGTGTGTGTTGCATCCAACTTTATAAAAATTGGAATAAGTCAAACTGATGCATTCTTTGGATGGTCTTTGGGGTTTTTTTTTTTGTTTTTTGTTTGTTTTTTTTTCTTTTTAAGACAGGTCTTGAGCTCACTATCTTACTATGTATCTGAGAATGATCTTGATCTTCTGATCCTCCTTTGAGCACTGGTATTACAAGAGTGTGCCTCACACCTGGCTTTGATTTTTGAGTGTGTGTGTGTGTGTGTGTGTGTGTGTGTGTGTGTGTGAGTGTGTGTGTGTGTGAGAGAGAGAGAGAGAGAGAAGCAGGCTTATGTCTCTATGCCTTACCACATTCTTAGTTAATTTTACAAGTCAAGCTGTCAGTAGCAGGAAATTTTTGTATTAATGTGAAGTTCTTATGATTATTTAGGAGTTTTAAAGGCAAAATTAGATTATATATAATAAAGTGTTTCTACTGTGTAAACTTTCTAGGTGTTTCTGTCCAGTTTTCCTTCATAGTCAGATGCTTTGGGAGTTGGTACTGTTGGGAGAGCCTCTTGTGGTCATGGCACCATCGCCATCAGAGTCTTCTGAAACTGTACTGGCCCTTGTTAAGTAAGTATATTTGCTAGTTGATGCTGATTCTTGCAGTATTTTGAGTCTGTGATGTTCCCTCACTCATTCCATCAGTCCATGCAACAACTTTCTCAGAATGGATGAGAAGGTTGATTCAGGTTTAGTTAGAGCTAAAACCATGTTTTTGTTCCTTTGAATAACACATGCATTCAGTAACATGAAGTTAGATCTTGATAAACTCCACCTACTATTGGTGATTAGTGTTTACCCAGTATTGACATAAATTTGTCTACTAGGTCTATGTTGTTTATATGGATGTCTCATGGTTGTGGAGTGCAATCTTGATTTTTGTGTCTTCCTGTTCCACAGCTGTATATCCCCATTAAAGTACTTTAGTGATTTTCGACCTTACTTCACAATTCATGATAGTGAATTCAAAGAATATACTACCCGTACTCAAGCTCCGTGAGTAAACACAATAACTTTTGTTGACTAAGTGTTACTTTTATTACCAAAATTTTGTAGAATTGTGTAATAAAATGTAAATTTTTTACTTAAAGATTGGTTTTTATAAAAGGTTTGGGAAGCTGTTGGTAATAACTTAAGATTTGAAGAATTAGTAACTTACTTTCTTTGAGTGATTTTACTTAATAAAGATCTGTGTTATTAACAGTTACCCAACTGTTTGATGATTTAAAATGTTCTATTATGAAAAATCTTTCTGATCTATGGAAGAGAAAAATAGTCATATTCTTTCCATTTAGATTCTGTTTTATAGTTGCTAACCTTTCTTAGCTAAAGTTTTAGAAGAACAAAAATAAATTCCATTTACTATCCCTACTTTTTGGTTTTCTGTTATCATCATAGTATCTGCTGAAGGCTAACTTTCTCTGTCTTTTTTTTTAATACTATCTTTTTTTAAATTTATTTTTGTTTTATGTGTATAAGTGTTTTGTTTGAATGTATGTCTCATGCATGCAGTGCTCATGGAGGCCAGAGGGTGTCAGAAATCCTGGAACTGGAGTTAAAGATACTTGTAAGATGCCATTTGGGTGGTAAGAAATGAATCTGAATGCTCTGAAAAAGCAGCCAGTGCTCTTAGCCTCTTAGCCTTTTCTCCAGTTCCCAGGCAAATTTCTTAATATCTATCAACATTTTCTATTTTCAATTCTTGACCTACTGAACAACACTGCCCTCTTTGTGTATGTGCGATCTTTTTGTTTTGTTTCTTTTGAGACAGGGTCTTATATAATGCAGACTGGCCTTGAACTCTGTGTAGCCAAGGGTGACCTTGAATTTCTGAGCCTCCTGATGCTTACCTTCCAACTATTTTAATGGCAATTTGCCATTTTTAAGACAGAATTTCCATATGTAGCCCAGACTGGGTTTGAACTTTTGATCCTTATGCTAGAACCTCCCATGGGATTGAAGGCCTATTTCACACTTACCTTTAAAATACCTTTTTTTCCCTCTTGATTTTGTTAGACAGGGTTTTTCGGTAGCCCTAGCTGCCCTGGAATTCAGAGATCCACTTGCTTACAAGTGCTGAGATTAACGGTTTGTGCCACCCCTGCCCAGCTTCCTTAAAATACCTAAATCCTGATTCTCCTGTCTCCTGGGTATACGGTGGTGTGTTTTAGTCTGCTGTGTAGACTTCTTTCTCTGTTGTTCCCATAAGTGTTGATATTAGCAAAGAGTGTTCTAGGTTCTTCTTTCAGACAGATCATTTTTTCTATATAACCTTAACAGTATCCATCTCTTTTTAAAGACCCTGAACTAAGATGAGGTGGCTAAGCACGTAAAAACACTTGCCATGCAAGCCATCAAGCATAAGTTAAGCTCCAAAACCCATGTACAAAGCTGAGTGCAGTGGCATCCATCTGTAGTCTCAGTACTCCCACAGTTAGATGGGAGTTGGAGGGAGAGGCCCAGGAAGCTTGTGAGTGAGCCAGCCAGCCTGGAGTATGCATTGCCTCAACAGGAACAGTGAAAGACCCTGCTTCAGGAAGGTGAAGGAGAGAACCAGCTCATGAAAATTGTCTTCTCTCTCGCTCTGTCTCTCTGTCTCTCTCTTTCTCTCTCTCTCATGCTCTTATGCTCTTTCACTCTTTGTCTAACATGTAATTAATTTAAAAGACCTTGTATTAAGTTGGCATGATAGTTCACTCCTGTAATCTTAGCACCTGAGAGGCTGAGTAGGAAGACTGAGGTAAGTTAAAAGCCCCTTGGACTAACTACAGAATAAAAACATAAATGATCCTATGCTAATGACTAAAGTGAGAATTTTGGAATTTTGGTTTGTTTAAAAAACAGAAATAAGGGTGCTGGAGAGATAGCTCAGAGGTTAAGAGCACTGGCTGCTCTTCCAAAGGTCCTGAGTTCAATTCCCAGCACCCACATGGTGGCTCACAGCCATCTATAATGAGATCTGGCGCCCTCTTCTGGCACGCAGGCGTACACACCCTGTAGCCATGATAAAATGTTGTACAATGCAAAAAGCAGCTTCTCGGACCAAGGCAGACATCTGTGTTGGTTTAAGCTTGCCTGGTGCTCTCAGTGGGAGATGGAGGGCAGTGAGGGCGAGGGTCCAGAGGTGTCTTGCTGTTTGGGTTCCATCGATTGCTATTGCCCACAGGTCTTAGGCTATCTCCAGAAGAAGGGTGACTGTTAGCTGGTATGGTCCGACTAATTCTTCATGTCTTTGAGGTTATTGAGAATTAAAGTGGACAATAATGATTTCCCATTTATCCTAGCATTTGGATGTTGGCCTGTGGAAGCGCACCAGTGTCCCTGGCCAAATTGGTATTAATTGATTTCAGTTTTTATAAGTGGCCTTTCAAGTCTGATGTAAACCAGAAACCCAGATACGGGAGATCTAATACTGCAAGGCTGACACCTTGATCCACAGTCTCCATCTCCTCTGCTCATCTCGCCTTCCCTCCTCTGGATTACAGTCCTGGTGGTCTGAGCACGCACACTCATTCGTTCTCCCAGTGTGTTCCTAGGAAGAGTGTGCACAGAGTCCAGCAAGCAGGGGACCCTGCGTTACAGAAGCCAGGACTGTAGGGAAATTGGAGAGAAACGATCAACAGCTTAAAATGTGAGCAGTGCGTGTTGTGAAACCACACACTTAGGAAACCTAACTCAACTCAAGGCCTCATCAAGGGTTGTGCAGTACAGGCAGACAGAGAGAACAAGCGAAGAGCTCGGGAGGGGACAGGAGAGCAAGCAGGATTGTTCCGGGAATGCTCGAGTGAAGGGGACAATCTTCTGCTTTTAGACCAGATGATCTTTGTGTGGCCTTGTCCCTTGCCCACAGGCAGTGTTCCTCAGAGAGACTCCACACTGGGCACGGAGGACTCAGTTTCCAGAGATCGGGGTGGCCGTGACACGAGAGTCTTAGGCTTGTCCCACACTTGAGGTTCCTCTCCTCCAATGTTTGCCATCTGTAAACACCATCTGTGGACTGAGATTGTGTTACTGTATCCCACAACAGGTGCAATTACTTGGCATCATTTAACACGAGAAATTTTTAAAAAAAAAATTCTTAAAAACAACAAACAAATAAAAACAAATAAGAATGTGTTTATGGGGCTGCTTTTCAGCAGCTGATTATGATTTGCCTTGTGCTATAGCAGGGGCGTGATTTTGCCAGCTGCAGATAGTTTTTTGCGATTGTGTGATGGTTGGAATTCTGGGACTTTTAAGGGGGTATATAAATTTGTGTTGCTGTTGTTTGTTTCAGTTTGTTAAGTAGTTGTTCGAAAAACAGAAACAGGAAGAAAAAGAAATTAGATAAGTTGATGGCAAAGATCAAACTTGCCTAAAGGTACTCAGTGCTTTTATCAGTGGGAAGTATTATGCTGTCCTTTTCCTATCCCCAACTTTAGTCAGGGTTCTCTCTTATCTAGTGTTAGGTGGTTGAAGTGGTAGAAGAACCCACAAAGTAGCAAAAGTCAGTTACAAATGGCTGAAATATATCTTTGTACCTTAGATCTCTTCAACACCCAGGCCTAAATGCACCGCTTTGGTGGTGTGATGTAGAATATAACGCCTGTATAGCCATTCTTCTCTTTGAGACGGATCTGAATCCTTAGCACTGTCAGCCTAGAATTTACCCTATAGATGAGGTTGTTTCTGAACTTGACATTGTAGTTTAGGATGACCCTCCCGCCTTTGCCTACCAAGTGCTGGTGGGATTATAGGTTCATACCTGTATGTTTTTGTTTGTTTGTTTTGTTTTTCGAGACAGGGTTTCTCTGGCTGTCCTGGACTCACTTTGTAGACCACGCTGGCCTCCAGCTCACAGAGATCTGCCTACCTCTGCCTCCGGAGTGCTGGGATTAAAGGTGTGTGCCACCACACCTAACACCTGTATGTCTTAATGTATCTGAAACTAAGCATGTTCTAACTGATTTCTTTTTATTTCCCTCTTTTTTTTCTGATCTCTTGTCTATTTGTTGTAAAAACATAAGTATTGGGCTATATATTATTTATTATTAGCCCTATGATTATCATGGTGGTATTATTTTAATCTGCTATCACAATTAATAAGATACAGACACCTGTTAGGTTTATAATTATCTTATTTACCTTGGGCCAGACAGATATTTTCCTTGTGCTGTCTCAATATCCTCACCATCCATCTCCCAGCCCCCATCCAGTGCCATCAGCCTTCATCCTCCTCATCTGGTCTACCTTCCATCCATAATCTTATAAATACTTACAGTTATTCTTAATAGCCTTTTCATGCTATTATTGGAGTCCTTCCTCCCAGCCCCACATGGTTTTTTCTCCAGGTTAACCCATTGTGGCATCTTTCTTCTTCCTCTCTTTTGTTCCATCTGTTCCCCAATTCTCAAGATTCTTTCATCGTCAAAAGCCCGGGAACGTAGCCACACCTACCCCATTCTTCCTGCCCAGGCATAAGCCATTTAATGAACCAGTCAGGAATAATGTTTTAGGCAGGTTTACACAAACAATGATGGGTGTTTCTGGTGGGATCTTGAGTGTCAGTAATTAGCAGTAGACCAACCTCCCACATCTGTTACTTTCTTGATAAGTGGTATTAGTTTTGATTTAGTTATAAAAAACATAGTATTATGTCTTCTTAATATGGTCAGCAGCAAATCTTAACTAAATTCTACCAGTTCATCACCCTAAAATATCTGTCAGCCTATTTATTACGTCCTTCTCATAATTTATTCTTCAGACTCTAGTTTTTCTGTCTGCTGTTGCTTTTCCCCCAGGTTTTCCCTCTTTCCAAGGCATCCTCCAACTTTCCCCACAGTGATTTATAGCATTTATGTGGCATACCTCCACTTGATTCTCTATGGCTTCTCTTTGCTTACAAGAGAAACTACTAATTTCTAAGTATATGCACCTGGTGCTGCCCTAAACTCTTTTTTTCTGTTTATCCTCCCGACTCTGCTCAGGTATGCTGAAGTACCTTTAATTGTGTGCAGCTCAGGGTAGAGATTGATCCTACCTCATTGCTTTGCATGTACTATTCTGTATTGCCCTTACCTTCCTTGTGTGTTGCTCCTGTTTCATATCTTGTCTGTATCCTGCCTTTGGTGAGTCTGCCCTTTAAACTCTGGCAGACCACAGGTTCTCCTTGTGATTACTGTGCATTTTATTTCACCTTCAGTATCTTCTAATTGTTAACATCATGACTGAGTGTGTATGCCTTTATAGCTTTATGCTGTTTTAAGAATCATGTCTCTTGGAGACTGGAGAGATGGTTCAACAGGTAAAAGCACTGGCTGCTCTTCCAAAGTATGCAGGTCCCATTCTTAATGCCCACATGGTGGTTCACAGCCATCCTTAACTCCAGTTGCAGGTGATCTGATGCCCTCTTCTGACCTTCCAGGGTACCAAGCACATACATGAGGTATAGACATACATTCAGGCAAAACACTCACACAAGATACAATTAATAAATTACTAAAAAGTCACCTGTTTTTATCTTCATGTGTCTAGTGCTGGATGTGTTAGCTATCATGTTGATATGTAATAATCCAGTAGAGGACTACTCTACATATAGTTCATTCAAATTGTCACCAGTTCTTCTGTGATTTAACATTCTTTTCTGCACCTTTTTGTTTTGTCTCATTTTTATACAGGCCCTCAGTCATCTTAGGAGTGACCAACCCCTTTTTTGCTAAAACGCTGCAGCACTGGCCGCACATTGTTCGAATAGGAGATCTTAAGCCTGCAGGTAACGTTTCTGCCTGCTGTCCACAGCGTGTGATGGACTGGGCACTCACTCTGTTTATATTATTGGCAACACTCTTGGAAACAGCCTACATAAGTACCTTTGGAGAGTATATTTTCTCACTAAAATAGGCATATGCCCTACCCTAAAAGAATTGTTAGAAAGCCTAAGAAAACTGAGCTTTTTATTTTGTAAGCTAGATAAAATTGGAATTCTAGTTTTGCTTTTGGAAAATCTTATAGAAAAGTAAAATGATAGCCAGATGTCATAGTGCCCATACATAATCCCAGCACTCTGGAGAGTGCAGCACAAGGATGTGAGTTCAGGTCAGCATGAGCTACGTACCAGAGACCCTGTTACAAAATAAGAAAGAAAAAAAAAGCTAGAATTATTGCAGACATAGCATGAAATTTTCGTAGGTCTTAAGACGTGTTGTGTAGTCCCCTGCCATTGTATTGATTGAAGAAGTCCTCACAGGTTGTACTTTCCTTGAGAAAAAGTGTTTGGCTTGTTGCAGGAATTTAGTAAGTGTTCAGTTAATACATAAATGAATTCTGAGATAGGATGTTTACTTTAGATGCCAGTTGAATGACACCCTTAACATTGTCATGGCCTCCTGTCATTCCATTAGTTCTCTGAGAGATACAAATGATAGTTCAGAGAACAGCTTACTCCACTCTCAAAAGACATGGGTTTGTTGTTGTTGTTGTTTTTAGTCTTTATACTTATTGTTATGGTTTTGGCTTTTACAAATATAGACTGACTTACTGTAATACAGTATATTGCTATTTACTTTTTTTCCTATAAAAAAGGTTTCATTAGGGATATAGGTAGGAAATTGCCATTGGTAATATAGTAGGAACTGATAAACTTGTTTTAAAAATCCCCCAAGGGGAGCTGAGCATGGTGGCACATGTTTTTAATTCCAGCATCCCAGCACTTGGGAGGCAGAGGCAGGTGGATCCCTGAGTTTGAGTCCAGCCTGGTCTACAAGGAAAGTCCAGGACAGCCAAGGCTACATAGAGAACCTTGTCTCTAAAATCACAAAAGAGAAATGGACCTAAAGAAGGGTAAAGAAGGGTTTGAATAGCTTCTGAACTTTTGAAAATGTACATGGAGCCAGGTGGGCTGTGGTGGCACACACTTTTAATCCCAGCTCTCTGGAGCCAGAAGCAGGCAGATCTCCATGAGGTTCTATGACACCCAGGACTACAGAGAGAAACCTTGTCTCAAAAGAATTTATTAGAAAGTATATTTATGAGATGAGCCAGGCATGGTGATAGACTCCTTTAATCCCAGTACTTGAGAGATAGAGGCAGGCAGATCTCTTGAGGTAGAAGCCAGTGTTGTTTACATAGTGAATTTCAGAATAACCTGGGCTACACTGAGAAACCCTGTCTTAAAATACACACACACACACATACACACACACAAAGAAGGAAAGAAAGAAGTAGAGGATGATATTCTAGCAAGTTAAGTGCATTTTATTTTTAGCAGTCTGTTTTAGAGGAGAGATAATATGTTTTCTATTTCAGTGTATTTTGACCATTTCATTGCGTAATTGTTTTTCATTTTATTATATATTTATGTATTGTGTGTGTGTGCGCGCGCCACAGCATACATGTAGACTAGAGGACAACTCTAGGAGCTGATTCTCTGGTTGTACTGGTCGTCAGGCAGCAAGCACTTTTACCAACAGAACCACCTCGGCAGCCCGCCTGCCCGCCCTTCCAGCGGCCATCCCAATGTATATGGCGCCATGTCTGTTGTAGGGTCCCTTTCCTCGTGGCCAGTAATGTCGAGCGTCTTTACATGCATCTTTATAGGACTTCTTTGGAGAAATGTTTGTTCAATTCTTTCCCGTTTTTGGTAGTCTCAGTCCTTTACGTGGCCCGGTGCCGGTCTCTTAGCAGACAGGCTTTGTAAGCTTGCCACTGTGCTGTGAGCTGTCTTTTTGCTCTCTGAATGAGTCTTTTTATGCAGTAGAGTTTTTAGTTTGGATGAAGTTCATTGTATCTAAATTTTTCTTTATTGTGATTTAGAGCCATTTCCTCGAAGTCAGATTTAAACCATGAATGTATGGAATGTGTCTTAGGGCACTGTTTGGCTTCTCAGGGAGCCAGTGCATATTCTATACAAGTTGGGCAACGTAAAACCCCATTGGAGAGTCTGACTTTAAAAACTTAACATGGACAGAATCTATAGAGCTATAGAAAAATCATATCTGTAGGCCCCAGAGGGAAAGCATGGCAATACAGAGTATATCTCTTGGGCTCAGGAGTTTATAATTATCTAGAAATGTGCATTTGGTAATTAGTTCTGATGCAGAGAGGTTGCTTTTTCTGTATGTTAGCTTTTGGTAAAATACAGAATTTTTACTTTATACTAAGAGGAGAAATAAAACATAAGGATAATTATTGGCACCTGAAGAAAAAACAAGTTGTGCTGGTTTTTATTGGCTCTAATTATAGACTGATCATTTCTAATGAGAAAGTGTCCTGGTTTATTTCACAACAGGAAAGGTAAAATATTTGGGCTAAGTCAAGAAAATTTATGTGCAAATACACAAGGGTGCACTAAAATGACCACCAGTTGAAGCCCCTCTTGTTTGTCTGTCAGTCACATCAGACACTGAATAACTTTGTAAAAAAAGTAAATAATTTACAATCATAGAACTGTGGTTTACTTACTCACATTGGTGACACAGCTATTCCCAGAGCTGCCTGCAATCCATTTTATGTTTTTAAAAGAATTGCTTGAGAATTTTGTGCACGCATATGATGTGTTTTGATCAAGTCCACCTGTCATTTCTTCTACTGATGGCTAGGGTATATGTCTTACTCCTGATGAAGTTTCCTGAGTCAGAGGGAAGCCTTCTGCTCATTTAAAAAAAGATAATATTTTTATTATTACCAAGAACTTAATGACAAGAAATAGGAAACTTACTGCTAAATTATTTCCCTCCCTGGCATTTAGATTTTGTTGCACATTATGTTTTAGCCATAATACATAAATCCTGTAACTTGTAACATTGTAACTATGAATATTATGTGCTAAAGATGGAATTTTGTATATGACAGGCAAACATTCTATCACTGAGTTATATCCTCAGCCCAATTTATAAGAATTTTTTAAAATTTATTTTTATTAATTATACTTTATTCACTTTGTATCCCCCCTGTAGCTCCCTCTCTCCGCCCCTCCCAATGCCACCTTCCCTCTCTCTTCCCCACCTCTGCCCCTCCCCCAGTCCACTGATAAGGGAGGTCCTCTTCCCCTTCCCTCTGATCCTAGACTATCAGGTCTCATCAGGAGTGGCTGCATTGTCTTCCTCTGTGGCCTGCTAAGGCTGCTTCCCTCTCAGGGGGAGGTGATCAAACAGAAGGCCAATCAGTTCCTGTCAGAGACAGTCCCTGTCCCCATTACAGGCCACTTGGACACTGAACTGCCATGGGCTACCTCTGTGCAGGGGCTCCAGGCCATCTCCATGACTGGTCCTTGGCTGGAGTATCAGTCTCAGAAAAGACCCCTGTGCCCAAGACCTTTTGGATCTGTTGCTTTCCTTGTGGAGCTCCTGTCCCCTCCAGGTCTTTCTATTTCCCACTTCTTTCATAAGATTCCCTCCACTCTGCCCAAAGAAGATGTTTATGTTTTTCTTTTCCTTTTTTTTTTTTTTTTTTTTTTCCCTTTCAGGTGAAATTCCTAAGCAAGTAAAAGTGAAAAAGTTGAAGAACCTAAAAACTCTGGATTCTAAGCCTGGTATCGACTTTTCTTTTTGTGTATACTTGTGAATGTCTGCATGGTACTGCTGTAGTCATGTGTGGGGTCAGAGGGCAGTTTTCAGGAGTTATTTTTCTTCTTGAACTAAGGGTTCCAGGGATATTCATGTAGTGAGGGCTTGGCCCAGCCCTTTATTATTTTGAAGTATGTGTGTGTGTGTGTGTGTGCGCGCGCGCGCGTGTGTGTGTGTGCATGTATATATGATGCTCATCCAGTTTGTTGGATTTTTCTGTTTATCTTCTTTTCTTAGGAGTTTATACTTCTTACAAGCCATATCTAAACAGAGATGAGGAGATCATAAAACAACTCCAGAAGGTAAATACCTGCTCACATTAATTTAAATCTCCTTGTTGAGGTTGTATACCCAGGGAATGTATGGGGTGTTTTGCACACTAATGTGAAATGGAATTTCTCTTCTTAAAAGTGGAACTGCTGAGTTTATGCATGCGAGGCAAGTGCTTTACCATTGAGGCATATCCCTAGCCTAGAACTCACTATGCAGACCAGGCTGGTCTTGAACTTGTAATTCTCCTGCTTCTGCCTTCTCAGTACTGCATTACAGGCATCTGCATTATGCCTTGGCTTGGATTTTCTTTGAAAATAAAAAAAAATCTTTGTGTGTGTGTGTGTGTGTGTGTGTGTGTGTGTGTGTGATGCATGATTGCATCAGAAAAAATTGTGGTGTAGAGTCTATTCTCTCTTTCCACCTTTATGTGGGTTCCAGGGAAAAATACCTTTATTCACTGAGCCATCTTGCTAGCTCTGAGTCACTTTTGTTTTTTGTCTTGCACACCTTAACCCTGAATCACTTTTAAACCCAAGCTTTAGGTATTGTGATATTTAGGTATTTAGATATTGTGGCTCATGCCTCTAACACCAGCACTAGGAAAGTAAGACAGAAGGATCGTAAGCTCTAGACCAGCCTGGCTAAATAGTGAGCCCTTGTCTCAAGAATAAGTGTGCAGTCAGGTGATATGCTCAGCAGGTAAAGGTGCTAGCTACCAAGTGACAGCCTGAATTCAACCTCTGGTTCTACATGATGCAAAAAAGAGGAGAAAACGAACTCCCACAAGTTGCCCTCAACACATTCTGCTCTGGTACATGTGTGTCACTTCCCACATCCCCAGACATACACACACACTATGCACAGAACAAATGCCTAAAGTTGAGTTCAGCTCTAGGATCCGCATGTTAGAGAGAAGTGACTCTTGGCGCACATGCACATGCACTCAAATGAATGCGATGGAAGTTTAATCTAAAAATCAGAAGCCAATTGTCTGCGGAGATGGCTCAGTTGGTCAGGGGCACGCACATACAATCAGGACACCAGCACAGCAGCAGACATAGACTTGACTGTTGTTCTGTAGCTGGAGAAAAATGCCAGTCATTCTGGAGACAGACATTGCAATGGAGATGTCGGTAGCATCTAACACTAAGAGACAGTTTGGGAGGTTTTGTTTTTTGTTTTAAGATGCCAGTAGTATTAATACAGCATATGCAAAATAAAGATTATTTTCACTGTGAACTGTTGCTCTTAAGTATGGGATAAATGAGATTAGTAAATCAGGTCTCATGTTCTACGCTGAGGATTTCTAAACTAAATTCATGTTTGAATTATAAAAGCAAATTATATGTATCAATATAATACTGTGATATTTTGATATACATTGTATAATGTTTAAGTCAGGTTAAACATGCCTGTTTTTTCAAACATTTATCATTTCTTTGTGGTGAAAAACACTTAAAATCCTTTCTTCTATGTTTTTTAGATATTTAGTATATAATTGTTCTGTGGTCACCCTAGCTGTACAATAAGAACACACCAAAATTACTTGCTCCTGTCCACCTGTAACTTCGTGCCTTTACAACTCAGCCTTCCCCTCTTCTCTACCCCACCTCTCCCCAGCCTCCAGCCAAAGCTTCTCACAGAGCTTTACAAAACAAACTTAAAATTAAGTTACTTCAACATAACATTCTAGGGTTTTTTGCTGGTTGGTTGGTACTAAGTTTAAATGTCTAATTATAAAGCAGTTGGTTTTGGTCACTTGCTATCTTATGTTTCCTGACACTAACATATGGGTTTCCATTTTTTTTTTTTTCCCCAAGGGTGTACAGCAGAAACGTCCTTCTGAGGCTCAGAGTGTTATTCTGCGACGCTATTTTTTGGAACTGACACAAAGTTTCATCATCCCATTAGTAAGTTATTAATGAAGAAGCCATAGTATTTTGGACAAACCTTGTATTATTCAAGTGTTTTATCACGATGACAAATTCCTGAGAAAACATTTCAAAGGAGGATTTAATTTTGCTCATAATTTTAGAAACTTGAGTGAAAGGTCAGCCTTGTCTCTACTATCTTAGGCATGAGGTCAGGTAGACTATCACAGCAGTGTGAACTTGTAACAAGAGGCTTTCCACTTGATGAGAACGGGACCAGGGACAAGCTATACGTCCAGGGTTATGCTGTCAGTGACACCTAGCCGAGCCCATCTCATAAGTAGCCCATCTCTTACAAACTTAGCAGTGAACTACCCATTGATGAGTTTAGTACTTTCATGACCCAGTCACGTCTTAATTGCATCACCAGCTAGGGAACCAAGCCTTTAACCTATGAATCACTTTGGTAGGATACTTTATATCCAACCACAGAAACTCTGTAATGTAGTGATAGTAATTTCAATATCAATGTTATTCATTCTTCAGAAACTGAAAAGTTCCAGCTGAATCAATTTTGTTTTGTTTTGTTTTTTGGGATAGAGTGTCTCTGTGTAGTCCTGGCTATCCTGCAGCTCTATCTGTAGACCAGGTTGATCTTGAACTCACAGAGCTCTACCTGTCTCTGCCTCCCGAGTGCTGGGTTAAAGTTGTTTGCCACAGGCTAGAGAGATGGCTCAGAGGTTAAGAGCACTGGCTGCTCTTCCAGAGGTCCTGAGTTCAATGCTCAGCAACCACTTGGTTGCTAATCATCTATAGTGAGATCTGATGCCCTCTTCTGGTGCGTAGGCACACATGCAGGCACAATGCTCTCTACATAGTAAGTATCTCTTAAAAAAAAAATGTTTGCCACCACTGCCCAACTGACTTAATTGATTTCTAAATTACTGTGTACACCTTAACTAGTACATTGAAGTTATTTTTAATAGATACTTATGCCACCTATCCAAAGAGAATTTACTACCAAATTGCTACATTAGATCAACCAGTCCAAAATGTATACCAGTTTATCCTATAGATACAATAGATGTTTTTGGTGATTGGTTTTTATTTGATTGATTTTGAGACAAGGTCTCTCTGTGTAGCTCTGACTGACCTGGAACTCATGGAGATTTGCCTGCCTCTGCCTCCCAAATGCTGGGATTAATGGCTTGCACTTTTAAAAGCAAAACCATTCTTGTCTTTGGTGATTTTTCTATGGATTTATAGTGCAGCATTCAGAGAACAAATAATTACAAGTTGTGCAGATACCTAAGGATCAGGTCAGGTTTGTGTTAGCTGTCACGAGTTGATATGTAAATTTCCACAGTGTGTGCAAAACTGGACCCAGTTCTTTATCTGAAATTACTGGGAGGCTGTCAGATACAGCAAAGGAAAAGAAGCAATCAGAAATGCTGTCAAAGCATGCTCCTTTCATCAAAGTACTGCTGATTCTCATACTGAGAGGAGCTGTGTACATTGTGTTTTTCAAGAGAAAGTTCTTGAGTTGGATGGAAGGATGTTTTCTGGATGACTCAACCAATCCCAATCTGATTTATAGTTTTCTTCATGATGCTTTCAACTTCTTTTCTTCTTTTCTTCTCTTAATTACCATCTTCCTCAGACTAGGAGCTCTTATTTTTTCCAGCGATGTGGGCATCTATTTCAGAAGATTTATTTCTGTCTTGTACCTGGGAATGAGGAGGCTACTATAGCGAGAGCCTGAGGCACTGCTATATTCCGATTCATACTAGGTACTTGGAAGTATTTTTCTACATCACCCTTATAAATAGAAACCAAGGCTGGAACTTTGATCCTGTTTCCCCTGTTGCTGAGGTACACCAGCAGCCCTGCAGGTTGCCCTCTTACGGCATACAGGCTGCTCTGTGACAGAGACCCAGGAGGCAGCTGCCTCTGGTCAGGATCAGTTCAGGGCAGTGGGCTGTGCCGTGGCCCAAGTGGGTCAAAGCAGGGAGTACATGCGTTCTGGAGCATACATCTCCTGAACTAGTCTGTTGTGAAATTTTATATAATGCCTGCATATTGTACCTCAAAAGGTCACCCTGGAGTTTCTTTCTCAGATACCTTTTCTTTGTTTGTTTTTGCTTTGTTTCTTTGAGAGAGGGTCTCACTGTGTAGCCCCCGTTGGCCTGAGAATCACTATGTGGATCAGGATGGCCTCCAACTCACACACATATCCCTGCTTCTGCCTCTCAAATCCTGGGATTAAAAGACATATGCCACCATCCCTGACTGATAGTGGTTTTTTTGAAAAGAGTTTGATACCACATCTAAGAAACTATTCAGTTCTGATAAAGGGACCTATATGTGTCTTGCTTTTTAACACTTCCTCAGTCTGATGTAGGGTACTTTTATTTATTGACTAAATGGCTAAGGAATACAGACATTCTACATAATTTAGCGGAGTGACATATAAATATAGGTAGCGTCACAATGTCTTGGTAGTCATTGCTTTTACGTGGTTATTAATGGGATCTGTGCAAATTATATGAAAGCAACCTGATGATCTTTGTTGTTCATTTTAGAAAACAGTATTCTTTGTTGGTTTGTGGGTGGAATTTTGATCCATTGAAATCTCAGTTGCACTGGAATGTAACTTGGTGGTTCAGGAAGCATTGTTGATTTCGATGCCTGGAATCAAAAAATGAAACTGCTTTTTTTTTTTTTTTTTTTTTGGTACTTAGCATAAGCTAAGCTAGGCCTGGTGATTCACTTATGTATTCCTCGCACTCAGGAGGCTGAAACAGAAGGACTTTCACAAGTTGAAGCCAGCCAAGGCTGATTCTGTCTCAAACAAACAAACAAGCAAACAAAACCAGCAAAACCAATCAAAATGCAGAGTCATGGAGTCCAATCCCAACTGATGATTCCACAGTGTAGCTCCTGGGCTGGAGGCTTAGGGATCATTGTGGAAAGAGCGTAAGATCCAGAGTAACAGGAAGTTTGTTGTGAAATTCTATTGCTTAGAAATATCAGAAGTTATACCCAGGAAGTCTCAACAACATGGCTGCTTAAATATGACCTGAACAATTACAATACCCTTACACAAGCTCACGTGGAAGGGAAAAGTTAATGAGGCTTCTACAAGCCAGGAAAAAAGCTGTTGACAGCCAGGAAATGCTGAAAGTGGGAGAAATAGTCTTCCATAGGAAAAAGCATACCAATTGGTTAAACACTGAGTAGTCAGACCTGGAAACATACATACAAATACCATTATACAGGCAGAGCAGGTTGTAGCTGTGTATTTAGGAGAATGTGCGTGTATATATGTATGTTTGTGTTAAAAAGGAAACACACACATACACGTAACAACAAAGATAAAGAGGCCATGAATTTGAAAAGACTCAGGGTGGGCTGGTGTTATATGGAAGGTTTGGGAAAACAAAAGGGAAAGGGGGAAATGTTGTAATTTATAATCTCAATTTAAATAAATAGCAACAATAAATGAAAGAAAAAACAATATAAAACAGACCTGATTTCAAGTTCTAATAATGAGTCAGGTTGTTTAACTTTTTTGTTTGTTTTATTTTGTTTTTTGAGACAGGGTTTCTCTGAATAGCCTTGTCTGTCCAGGACTCGCTTTATAGACTAGGCTAGCATTGAGCACACAGTGATCTGCCTGCCTCACAGAGTGCTAGGACTAAAGGCGTACCCTGCCATGCCCCACTGAGCTTTTTCATTAGCTTTTTGAAACTTCAGTGTCTCAGTAGTGCCGTATGTTTCAAGGATTGCAAGAGATGAAGCATGTATAAAGTGTTACATATATTTTCTGACATAGTCAACACAATTAATAATGGCCATTAAAATTACAGGTGGCTGGAGAGATAGCTCTGCAGTTAGGAGCACTTGGCTCCTCTTGCAGAGGATCAGAGTTGTGTTCCAGCACCCATTTCTAGAGGTTCAAAACTGCCTGTAACTCTCACTTAGGGCATTCAACACCCTCTTCTAGTATCTATGAGTGTGTGTACACACACACACACACACACACACAAACGAAACCTTAAAATGTATATGAGTTTAGAGCCAGATAGAGTAACATAGTCCTGTAATTCCAACAGTTGGTGTGGAGGCAGAAGGATCATGAGTTCAAAGCTAGCCAGGAGTACACAGCAAGACCCCATCTCAACAAAGCAAACAAGAGCTGCTGAGAAGCTCAGAAATGAAGGCAGTTGCTGCACAAGCCTGGCAACTTGTTCAATCCCTGAGACCATGGAAGGGTAGAAGGAGAGAACCAACACCACAGAGTTGTTCTCTGTCCTCTACATGTGTGTTGTGGAACGGGCTTAAGCCCATTTAGATCATGCACTCACACACAAATTAAACAAGCGAAAATATGAATTGAGTACAGCGTCATGTACTAGCTGCTTGGGAAGCTAAGGTGGAAGGATCACTTGAGCCCATGAGGTCAAAAACATCTCAGGCAGTACAGCAAGCCACCAATCTCAGAAAGAAACAAAGTAAAACAAAACAAAGAGGCAGTGTTTTGAGTTAATGTCTAAACATGACTTTCCAACTCAATCTAACTGGAGCAGTGTTTGTGGGAAATGGTGAAATCATTGAGGAAGCATGATGGAAAAACTCAGATTCAGGTTGTTAAGATGACTCAGCAGGTAAAGACTCCTGCTGCTAAGCCTCATGATGTGGGTTCTATCCCGGAATTCCTGGGATGCCCATGGTAAAATGGAAGAGAGCTGACTTCCACGTACATGCTATGGTATGTGTGTGTGCACCTACACAAACACATAGTGAATAAATGAATGCAATAATCTAAAATATAAAAAAACTCGGGCTCAGGGCTCACTTTTTCTTTTTAAAGATTTACTTATTGTTTTATGTATATGAGTACTCTCTCCTTGCATGCCAGAAGAGGACATCAGATCACAGTATGGATGGTTTTGAACCACCATGTGGTTGCTGGGAATTGAACTCAGGACCTCTGGAAGAGCAGACAGTGCTCTTAACCGCTGAGCCATTTCTTTAACCCTCCCTTTTTCTTTGTGTATACTCACAAGACCTATCACTTCTGAGACTTCATGAGGTATGCAGTTTCTTACCTCAGTAACAAGCAAGCAATCTTGTTAGTGAGTAGATAGCAGCAAGGTATCCTTGAATCCCTTAATTAAATTCTGACACTGTCTACCTGGCAATAGCTTCAGATCCTAAGTGCTGAGGGCTGGGTTCTTGAGTTGCTCTACAATATGTTAGATGCCAATCACAAGCTCCAGTGTGTGGTTACTTATCTACTCTGAATCCCATATCCCCTTGTTGGCGTTTCAGTAATTTACTCAAATGACTTAGGGAAACATTTGATGTTAGTTGGTTTTTTATATAGAACATTTCAAAGAGTATAGATGAATAGGATCAGTTATAAATATAGAGACTGGAGCTTGCACAACATCTCTTGAATGTGTCACCCTCTATGAATGTCATGTATTCGGCTACATAAAAACTCTCTAGTCCTTTGGATTGCAACAGAGACTTCATGGCATAAGCATGTTTGAAGCATAGGTATCTGTGTCCAGTGTTATTCGTACAAAGAGTGTATGATCTGATGCTACCTGACTGGGTGGTGAAAGTCAACAAAGCCACCCTGTCAGATTCCTTGAAGTTCACTTGTGATCCAGATCCTTTCTTTTTCTTTTTTTTTTTTTTTGTTTTTGTTTTTTTTGTTGTTGTTGTTTTGTTTTTTTGTTTTTTTTGAGATAGAGTTTCTCTGTGTAGCCTTGGCTGTGCTAGAACTCACTCTGTAGACCAGGCTGGTCTTGAACTCACAGAGATCTGCTGCCTCTGCCTCCCAAGTGCTGGGATCACAAGTGTGCAACAACGTGCTCTGTTCAAAACATCGGTCTTAACAGCTACTTTCAGACAAGATAGGTCAGAGAACTGCCAGGTAACAGCTCCTAGACGGAGAAGCCATACAAGACTTAAAGACGTTTGTAATCAGCTAGGGAGAGTGAAAGTCTAGTTTCTATGAACTGCCTTTTGTAGGAAATTATAAGCCAGAAACTTTATGGAAAAAAAAAGTGTGTGTGTGTGTGTGTGTGTGTGTGTGTGTGTGTGTGTGTTGTAGTATCATTTGGAAAACCTGTTTGTTTGTTTGTTTGTTTGTTTGTTTGTTTGTTTTGAAGCAGGGTCTCTCTGTATAGTCTTGGCTGTCCTGGACTTGATTTGTAGCTCAGGCTGGCTTTGAACTAACAGAGATCCACCTGTCTCTGCCTCCCCGAGTGCTGGGATTACAGGCATGTACCACCATGACCAGCTGGAAAACCATTTTAATAAAATAAAAGATCCCTTAAGTAAGACTTGTAAAAACACCTAACAGCATTTTTTTTTTTAAATTTATTTTGGCTTTAGGAAAGATATGTGGCAAGCTTGATGCCTTTGCAGAAAAGTATTTCTCCATGGAAGGTATGTGATATTCAAGTAATTTCCTTTTTCAGTTGTTTGGCTATAATTACCTTCTTTGAATAGAGCAGTTCCTTATTTCTAAATATAGTGTCCTTGTTTTCTAGAGTCCACCCCAGCTACGACAGTTCCTTCCAGAGGAGTTTATGAGAACACTTGAGAAAACGGGTCCTCAGCTCACATCTGGAATAAAAGGCGATTGGATTGGACTGTACCGGTCAGTCTCTACTCACTTCACATCTCTCTGTGGACAAAAACCCACTATTGGAAAGCCTCGATTACTCTTCTAGCATGGATTTCTGAACTCTAAGAAAGGAGGGAAAGGCTGGTGTGGTGGTGCATGCCTAGGATACAACTGCCTGGGGCTGGGCCCGCAGAGGCAAGTGCCATCCACAGTTTACAGCAGGTTGGAGGCAGCCCGGACTACTGGAGACCTGGGGATTGTCTTGCTGTTCTGTTTTGTTCTAAGAGGTGGGGGTTGGAAGAAGAAATAAATCTTAACTTTGCTTTTTTAAAATGTATTTTGAAGGCAGTTTCTAAAGTCTCCAAATTTTGATGGCTGGTTCAAGACCCGACGGAAAGAAATGACCCAAAAATTGGAGGCACTTCATCTAGAAGCTCTTTGTGAAGAGGTTAGAAAACAGTTTATTAGTATGGTACAAGGATTAAGAGTATACAAAGTGTTCTTAGAGGTTGAAAATAATACTTAGAATCCACTTTGTTACATTCGCTTATGTTCTGTGTGCATGTGTGTGCATGTCTCAAGGACAGCTTTCAGGTATGAGTTCTCTCCTGCCATGCAGGTTCCATGTCTAAACTAAGCCATCTGGCTCGGCAGTAGTGCTTTTATCCACTGAGCCCCACTTTAGTATAAAGAGTGCTCGGAGCTAACGTTCTCATATCCTGTCAGGGCTCTCTTAGGAACAATTTGTTGAGGTAGGTGTGTTGTGATCTGCATTATGCTACACCTGTGGTTTAGGGCTACAGTGATCATGGCTCAGTTTGCAGCACTCCAAGTGTGAAGCCATGAGGTGCTATAGTCTGCTTTGTGGTTTACATGAACTCAGTGACCTCAGTTAGTAGCATGATATCATCTGCAGTGAAGTATCATACCACAGAAACTGGCACCTCCTATAAGCAGAGAGTACAGCTGAGATCAGGACTCAAATCCCTACAGTCTCACTCCAGCTTGTTTCCAGTGTGACTTAATCACTATGTAGTTAGCGTTAATTTGTTCCTGTGGTTGGACTGCATTATGTATTTGTATGATACACCAGCCTACTTCAAAGTAAACTTCTTGAGATAGTATAATCTTATTTTCTTTTGTATTTAGCTTTAAATGTTGAAGTGGGTTAGTCACAGTGTTATTTTTTCTACCATAAACTCCTACTGACTGTCTTTTAGAAAAACACTATGGGGTCTGGAGAGATGGCTCAGTGGTTAAGAGCACTCTCTGCTCTTCCAGAGGTCCTGATTTCGATTCCCATAAACCACATGGTGGCTCACAACCATCTATAGTGAGATCCGATGCCCTCTTCCTGGCATGCAGGTGTGCATGCAGACAGAGCACTCATATACATAAAGTAAATAAGTCCTTTTTAGAAAAAGAAAAGCACTATGATTGATGAAAGCAGCCACAGGTACGCCGTATTAAAATCTTATTTGAAGCTATAAAATTTATATCGAGTAATATATTCATGTTTGGTTATCTTGATTTGTTAGCGAAAAATTCCTTATAAATTACTATTATAATAAGTAAAGATTAGTATTACATTGAGCTGCTGTTTTGTTTTTTCCTCTTGACAAAAGGGCCACCTCAGAAAGGAGTTTTCTTACCCTTTGTTTACAGTTCTTTTGGCTAATGTTAAAAATATATCTACTTAACCAGTTTTTAGATTTTCATGGAAATTACCCTTGTGTTGTACTGCTGTGTTGGACTTGTATGTTTTCTTTTCCTTCCCATCTTATCCTTACTCTCCACTAGCCTCACTGGTTGAAATAGAGAGGCTCAGATATTTTTTGAGTATGTATCAATTTGGGATTTTCTTACTGTTCTAGGACCTCCTTCTCTGGATCCAGAAACATACAGAAGTAGAAACAGTAGACCTTGTATTGAAGCTGAAAAATAAGTTGGTATGTAACTAAAGAGATGAAGACATAAAATGGCCTTTTTTTGTGAAAATGTTTTTCTCATCTGAGCTGACACTCACTGTATTATATACTACAGAAGTAACTTTTTAAGTGAGAAGATTTGAGATTGGCCAGTTGGTCAATTTGATCACTCAAACAGGTCAAATGATTCCATATTATTCAAAAAATATTTAATGGTTTTAAGAATTATTTTATGTGTGTTGGTGTCTGGCCTGCACTTAGAAAGCACACCCTACGCATGCAGTGCCTAATGGAATGCGAGAAAATGGCATCCCATCCATGGGAACCGGGGGCCATGCACATGCCGGGAGCTGACACAGGTCTTCCACAAGTGCAGCCAGGGCCCTTAACTGCTGAGCTATCTTTCCACCCCCTCAAAAGACCCTTAGAATGGAATCTTTTGAATTCTAAAAAACCATCATCTCGCCTCAGACATCATCTGTGAATTTATAGGATAACCTTTTATTGAGGTTATCGTATAACCTGCCTCCCCCACTTAATGTTGTCTGCAGTTTTAGTTTCTGTAAATTCTAAACGGTGACCTAAAATTCCAAGTGATCAGGCTATAAAAAGGGTATTGATATAGCAAATACAATGGATTAATACAGATTCACTGAAACTATTCCTTATGTAGTTGCAGGCTGACCGAGAGAACTTACCTGTGAAACCTGATACTGTGGAGAAGTTACGGACACATATAGATGCAATTATCCTAGCATTGCCAGAGGACCTGCAAGGCATACTGCTCAAGACTGGCATGACATGATACTTACCAGGCTTTCCAGCCAAAAAGGACTGTGAACCATGAAGCATATTGACATTTTATCCAGACACACAAAGGACCTGTCTCAGTGGCGTGGAAAACAGCAGCAGTTGCTAGATGCAGGTGGAAAGACTGAGCATACAGACAAACATTTTTAGTGCATTCTGTGGTGGTTCCACAATAGCGAAATACCGAAAGACATTTACATACTTTTAATCATGTTCTAAAGTGCTCTTATGAGAGGCCTGTGGGCCACCAATATAAGTGACTCCAAACTGCAGTGCCGGCATTGCAGATATTTTTAAACTGGTGCTGCTTTGCCCAGTCATGTTGAAACTCAGGGGAATATAAAAATAATGTTCACACTGGCTATCTTCTTATAAAAGAGAAACTGAACGTTCCAACTATAGTTAGATATAACTGGGCTTATGTAGTGCCTTCCATTGTCCTATATGTTTCACAGGGTCCAGCTGCTAATTGAAAAAGAAAAGCTTTTTCTTTTTTGATTCTGATACATAACTTTAAAGGCATTATGTCAAGTAATCATTTGCTCAAAAGTGTTTCTTGTTGCCCCTTGTGTTTATTGGCTAGTATTTTAAAATATCAGGTAGGTTTTCATTTCACAATTCTCTTTACCATTTTCAAAATTAAGTCTTATGGGTTTCTCTAAAGGAAGAAGGCATATGTAATTCTAGTTATGGAAGAGTTGATTTTTCTCTTTCCTTTTACTAACTGGGCCTATATAAATTAATCAGCTTGAATGCCTTTAGAAAACATTCTCACTATGAACATCATAGTCAGCTTTTTAAAAAAATTATTATTCTTATGTTATTCATAAGCCATTCATGTAATAATTATTTAGGACTTTTAAGTTTAATCTTCTTTTTTTTTTTTTTTTTTTTTCCCCTTCCAGAGACAGGATTTCTCTGTGTAGCCTTGGCTGTCCTGGACTCTCTTTGTAGACCAGGCTGTTCACAAATTCACAGAGATCGGCCTGCTCTGCCTCCCTAAGTGCTGGGATTGCAGGCGTGTGCCAGCACACCCAGCTTTTAAGTTTAATTTTCAACGTTATTTGTTGAGTGATACTTTTTCCCCTAAATTAATGATTTTCAGAATACTTGTTCTGTTATTGTCTGACATGGGAACTTCTGTCTAAGTCAACATTATGGTTTTGTTTGTTTTCATTTTGTTTGTACTACCTTGCCAAAAATAGAATGATATTGTTTGGTTTGTGTTTAAATGAGAGTGTTTGCAGAAGCTACTGTTCAAACAGGCACACACAAAGTAGCACATATGTAAATAGCTGTGTCTCAGTACTCTCCCTCCTAGCAGCCAAAACTAGGTATATGTGTTTGTCACACAATGGCTTCAGAAGCCATCTCTTGTTCTCTCTTGATGTTATTATTAAGGGCATTTTTGATCCAAGAAGGGTTCTCTGTGCTGTGACTGTGGTCTCAAATCCAAGTGTGCCCTTAGTCATGGATACAGTTTCTTGAAGCATACCACTGTCAAAGAATATGGCCTTTGGATGAAATAATTTGTCTGGATCAAATGGGTTATTTTGTAAAACAATACTCCCCTTTCAGAAAAGGGGCAATTACTTTTATATGCTAAAGTACTTCATAACTTTCTGGGAAACTTTATTTAGGTAGAAATGGTTACCTTATTATTTTTCAAAAAATGTATTTTAATAATTTCACAGTTTATATAAAGTTTGTGACATGAATATGAAAGTTGTTAGTGTTATATCCAGGATCTTTTGAAATATACTTCTACAGGATATATCATTTGAAGTTTATTTTGCACACCTAAAGAATAACATGAAGTGTCAATTAGCATGATAATGCTGTTTTTACATTTAACGAATATACTAGAAACTCAACCTAGGTTGAAAACCAAATCACATGCACCTACTTTATCTCTTAATTTCAAATTATGTACCTGCAAGAATAGCTTAAGGTTGCATTGAAAACCCAAGAAAGACTGAATGCTAACTTAAATTTTTATATGATTTTTAGAATCGTCTCTCTTTTTTTTAAGTTTAATATTCACGCCCTCCATGTAATGTGTTATCTCCACCAGCATCAGAAGGAATCAGTGCTTTTAGGGTGTTGTGTAATGCCTAGTGCCTTCTATTTACAGTGGAAAAGAGGTTTTGTGGAGGCATTTATGGTCATTACCAAAAACTGAATTAAAGGTCTTGGATTTTAAACCACTTGGATAGCTTGTGTTATGTCTCTTCTCTTCTGCTTTTTTTTTTTGTTGTTGTTGTTGTTTTTGTTTTGGAGACAGGATTTCCTGTATCCCAGACTGTCTTCAAACTCCTTGTATAGCCAAGGGTGACCTTGATATTCCTGCTTCTACCTCCTCCTGTGGGAATTACAGGCCTGTTCTACCACATATTGTTTATGCAGTGCTGAGGATTGAACCCAAGGCTTCATGCAATCTAGGCAAGCACTCTGCCAACTGAACTGCATGCCCAGCCCTAGCTTGGATTTCTTATATTTTTAATAATTAGGAAAACAGTAACGACACTTGCATGTTATTAAAATATTTTATTTCCAGATAGTTTTTTTTTTTTTCAAATGAAATTAAAAGCAAAACCTTTTTTCTGTGTATTTTACTATAAACAGATGAAATTAAAAGGTTAGTATTTAGCCCGGCAGTGGTGCCGCACACCGTTAGTCTAGGTAGGGAGGCTCTGTCTCGAAGACAAAAGCAGACAAACAGCTTCAGAGGCTGGGGCAGTAGCTCACCGATGAAGCACTTGCCTGACAAGCATGAGGACTGAGCTCAGACCCAGCACACACACAGAAAAGCCAGGAGTGGTGGCACAGGCCTGTAATCCCCACTCTGTGGAGATAGTAGATCCTGGTGTCCCACTGACCAGCCATTGTAACCTACAGTACCAGGCTGAGCAGAGACAGTCTTAAAGTAGAAGGGTCCTGAGGAGCTGCACAGGCCGATGTTTGCCTTACACACGCACACACTGATGTGGGCCCAGAGAGAAGGCTGCACATGGTGACCCTTGCCTTAACCACAGCACTTGGGAGGGAGAGGCTGGAGGATCCCTGTGCGTTCAAGGCCAGCCTGGTTTATGTTAGTGAGTTCCAAGCTATTGAGGGCTACCTAGAGAGATCCTGTCTCAAAAACAAACACACAAAACACAAATATCCATACATGAAGAGAACATATAAAAACCTTTAAATTTCAGTTTGCTTTCATTTTTCACTCTTTCCCCAACCCGTTTGAGACAGGGTTTCTCTGTGTAGCCCTGGCTATCCTGGAACTCACTCTGTGGACAAGGCTGGCCTCAAACTCAGAGATCCGCCTGCCTCTGCCTCTCAGTGCTGGGATCAAAGGCGTGTGCCACCACCACCCAGCTCATTGTTTACTCTTTTTAAAGGGAATTACAGTGCAGAATTACAGTGGTAGAGAGTTTGCCCATGTGCAAGGTCTTAGGTTTGACCCCAGCATGACCAAAATGAAAGAAAACAGAATCTTAAAAATAACCATGGACAAGCAAGATGGCTCAGTGGGTAAGGACCACTGTAGCCAAGCTTGATGACCTGAAATTGATCCCTGGGGCCAACATAGTGAAAGGAGAGAACCAACCTCCACAAGTTGTCCTTGAACCTCTACATGTGTGCTATAACATATGTATATTAAAGTAACTTTTATTATCCTTACTTACCTAGGCCTAGTGCTGGAAGCTTCTAGCCTCCATACAATCTAATCTACGCCTAGAATGTTTTCAGCCTGTGAGGCTTACTCCTGAATAAGTTCACCCTTTCTAATTCTTTCTGAACTCAGGCTGGCTGCTTCAGCTCAGCTGTTCTGGCTCAAACTCCTCTCCAAGCTGACTGATTCAAACTGGCTCCTCTCAGCTTCTGACTGAATTGCTCAGTTTGGCCTCATACTAACTTTGGTAATGTGTTCTAATATTCTAGCTCCTCATTCTCTGGCTTGTTCTGTCTCCATCTGTGTCTAGGTTCTCTCTTCAACTTCTCTCTGTAAAACTGCCTCCTTTTTCCCTCATTCTCTGTGTTGCTCCCTTAAGTAGCTTCCCTTTCCTCTCCCATGAGAGTTTGGCATATCCTATTCTGTGAAATCTTTCTCTGATTTATCACTTTGTCTGTCACTTAATTAGACATCATTTTCAAACATGGGTATCTAAAAGGGTGCATGTTTTTCCTCCCGGCCCCAAACTCTCATGAGCTCAGAATAAACTTACAAATACCTAGGCCATATAACTGTGTTCTTCTCTGACTGGCTCATAACATATCCTAAAAAAGTCCTGTCCTGTGGCTGGTTACGTCTGCTCAGGTACCATCATGTGAGAAAATGCTCCTCACATCTTCTCAGGTGAATCATCCGCTCCTGGCTCTATCCCAGAAGCCTTTCTGCCTGCTGGATATCTCACCTTCTATTCTACCTTTTCCTTTAGGCCATAGTTTGTTTGGTTTGGTTTGGTTTTTGTTTTATTGACAGGTGCTGCTTCCAAACAGACACAAGAGAGTCAGTCCTACATGGGAGCTTTCTTATACAAATTAACTTTACCTTCATTGTTTGGGATTAAACAAACACCATGTAACACCATACCTGGACCTAAGCTTTTTTTTTTTTTACCTGAAACTTGCTTTATACCCTGGCCTTGAACTCAGACATCTGCTAACCTCTATCTCTTAGCATTAAAGGCGTGTGCCACCACTGCCCAGGGTGTCTGTATTCCATCCAAATCACACAGACCTGGAAGGTCTTTGGATGCAATCTCTTGCCAGAGCATCTATGTTGTGAATTAAAATTCCTCCTGAGTACACAATTGTGATTTTTTTTTAAATTATTTTAAGGTAACTATTCTTTGGCTTACTAGTAAAATCCAGGTGTGGTGGAATTGTAGCATTTGAGAGTTGGAGTCTTGGGGGAGCAGGAGTTCAAGATAATTTTTGACTTTATCTAGAGTAATGACAGCAGCCTGAATGAGATCCTGTCTTAAAAAAAAACTTAATAAAAAATGGGGAGAAGCTATATGATTGCACGGCTATACAACGCTAGAAAATGTAAACTGTAGTGATGCTCTCAGTAGTTGATGGGGTCAAGACTGTGCACAGGGACAAAGAAGTAATTGGGGATGATGGCGTGCTCACTGCCTCGGTTGTGGCAATAGTTTTACGGGAAAATAGTAAAATGGCGAAATTTAACAAATTGCGTGCTTTAAAAATATATTCAGTTTTTATATGTCTATAAATATTTTTAAACAGCACATTGGGTTATATAACCAGAGCCCCTCTATAAACATATTTCATTAAATAAATAATTTCAACACTTTTTCTCCCAAAGCACAGTTCATTGTAGGAACACGATGACTACTCTGGAATGTCAAGTTCATTTTTTTCCAACAGTAATTGAGCCACCATAGAAGAGGTTCACACTGTGGCTGAGTGAACACAAGCGGCTGCTGAGAACATAAAGATCCATGACGTTCTCCCACCTAATACAGTTCTGATGATCAAGAAGGCGGGGAGACAGAAAGCACACTAGCCTATCAGTGACACTAATAACAAAATGAGACGGGATTATAAGCCAGTTGAGAAAGTGTGACATTCAAGCAACAGCAGAGAAAGGCTAGGACTTGGGACTCCCGAAGAAGTGGCAGAGAAAAAGACACAGTAGGACCCTGCACATCAGGAGACAGGCAGCGCTTCAACTATACAAGAAACCTATTTTAGTAACCCTAAATCTTGTCAAAGAGCGAGATACGGAACTTCTATTAGCAATTAGGATTCCGTTTTTTGTCTGCTTTTTGGAGTGAGGATAGAAGGGAGGAGCAAGGCTTCACTAGGCCAAGCTGGACTCCTCATCAGTCTCCCAGGTGCTAAGATTACAGGTGTACAGAACCGTACCTGGCTCATAATTCTGGATCTTGTCAATTTGCTTCATCTACTTGAAACTGGCAAATATAGCTGGAAGTTCTTTGTTTTATTTAAAAATGTTAATTTCTACTTGTGTAAACTATAGTGGTTTATTACATAATACAATAATTGGGCCAAGTTGAGTATATAAGTAATATATTTTAAATAAATGTTAAATAATAATGGTTGCTAGTAAAAGCTAATCTATTATATTAAAATATTTATCCAGAGTATGATGTAAGCCTAGCAATTGGGAAGCTGAGGCAAGAGGATTTTGAGTTACGGTCAGCCTGGGCTACGTAGTAGGACCTGGTCTAAAAAAAAGAAATTATCTATAATTACAGAAGCTCTTTGCTTTCTTCAACTACTTGTTTTGAGAGAACTAATATTAGAAATTTAGAAATTTCTAATTAGAAATTATAAATCTTTTCTCCCCTCTGAGTTATGAGGAAATAGGAAAAAGTAAAATCCTGATGGATTAAGTTATAAGCAAGTGAAGACAAAGAAGCAGCTTCTTGTGGGGGTGTAATGTGTGGTGTGTGTATCCCCATCTGGGCAGGTGAATAGGGAGGTCAGAGAAGACTGGGAATGTCTTCCATTCTTGTTCTCCATCTGATTTTTTGAGACAAGGTCTCGTCTCTCACTGACCCTGGAGCTTCACTGGCTGCTCAGCAACTTCTTGGATCCAACTCTGGAAAAACAGGCATTCAAAGCCATGCCTAGCTTTAACTTGCGTGCTTGAGAATCTTGCTTGCATAGCAAGCACTCCTACCCTCTGATCTGTCTCTATAGGCCCCTAGAGAGTTTTTTTTAAGTGTTTTTTAAATGACTGTGTATGTATGTGTGTGAGTGTGTGGGCAAAGGTCAGAGGACAGCTTTGTGAAATTGCTTCCACCTTTTTGTAGATAGGTTCAGTAAGGTTCAATGAGGTAGAATCAAACTCAGGTCCCTGGTTTGCATAGCTAATGCCTATCTCCTGAGCCATCTTACCAACATGAAAAATACATTTTGGTTTTGGTTTGTTTGTTTTGACGAGGTATGTAGTCCTGGCTTGTCTGGAACCCTGTATAGACCAGGGTGGTCTTCAGCTCACAGCGATCTGCCTTTTTCTGAGGGCTGAGGTTAAAGGCATGAACCACCATGCCTGGCCCAAAAAGACACATTTTAGTATCAGTTATCAGATACATGTTTTAGGAACTGTTCTGCCTTTCTCCGGAGTTTGTAACTTTCTTTCCAATTTTCTTAACATATTTAACATATTTGTTAAAATTGTCTTGACCTTTTTATTTTTCAGACTAGCCTCGTGTAA